AGGTGCTCGTACTGGAGGTACTGGAGCTGTTGGGGCTGGAGGTGCTGCTGAGCCTGGGGGTGCTGCTGCTGGAGACACTGAGGCTGGAGACCCTGGGACTGGAGGTGCTGGTTCTGGGGGTGCTGCTGCTGGTGGAGCTGGTCCTGGAGGAGCTGGCGCTGAGGGTTCTGGAGCTGCTGGAGGTGCTGGAGCTGCTGGGGGTGCTGGAGCTGCTGGTGCTGGTGGCACTGCACAGCCGCGCCTGTTCTTCGCTCCGCCGTCTCCGTCGTCTCAGCCACCGCCTGACTCTGTGCTTCGCCAGGTTCTTAGTCTCCCTTCGTCTACTGGTCTTCCGTTACAGCCTGGCTCACCGCTGCCTGCTCCTTCTCCTTACACCGAGCAGACAGGGGGTTTTACTGAGTGTCGTGAGCCTGCGTCGCGTCCTGTCTCGCCTGCCCGTTCTAGTAGTTCCGGTCGTCGTGTGCCTCGTTCCCATCTGCCGACTGTCCCCGGCACCCACCTCGTAGTTCGTCGTCTTTCCTCTCCTCCGCAACGTGTCCCCCTGCCGTCACCTCCTGCGTCTTCTCTGCCTACAGTTCCTGAGCCTGAGTCTCACCGCACCCGTGCTGCTCACCCTACTGTCACGCGTCTGCTAGCCACAGTTGTCACTGACCCGTCGTTTGAGTCTGCTGCTGCGTCTTCCATTGTTGCTGAGCTTGTTGACTTTGCTGCTGCCTGTCGTCTAGACTACGCCGCTAGTCTTGTTGCTGAGTCTGAGTCTGTCTGTCCTCCGTCCGTCGGGGGTGAGTGTGCCCTTGGCACGGACGTCCTTGAGGACAGGCAGGAGGACCTTCAGTGTCTTGCAGCCGCTGCGCCTCACCTCGTGTCCATGCTGCTTGCCCCTGAGGGAGACCCGGATGCTCCAGACATCCCGACCCCGCGCTCTTACGCTGAGGCGATCGCGGGTGAGTACTCCTCTCAGTGGCAGACAGCCATGGACGCAGAGATGGCATCCTGGAAGTCCACAGGCACTTACGTTGACGAGGTTCCCCCTCCTGGGGCGAACATCGTCAGTGGCATGTGGATTTTCAGGGTGAAGCGGCCGCCAGGTTCTCCGCCTGTCTTCAAGGCTCGTTACGTTGCTCGAGGTTTCAGTCAGCGAGAGGGAGTTGACTTCTTTCAGACTTTCTCCCCCACCCCGAAGATGAGCACTCTTCGGGTGCTGCTGCACGTTGCCGCTCAGCGTGACTACGAGCTTCACTCTCTTGACTGCAGCACAGCTTTCTTACAGGGCAGCCTGCACGAGGAGATCTGGCTGCGCCGCCCTCCTGGCTTCACTGGGTCGTTCCCTCCTGGTACTCGGTGGAGCCTCCGGAGGCCGGTCTACGGTCTCCGCCAGGCGCCACGTGAGTGGCACGACACACTGAGGACGACACTTGCTGCTCTTGGGTTTGCTCCGTCGACTGCTGACCCGTCGCTGTTTCTGCGCACCGACACGTCGCTGCCGCCGTTCTACATCCTCGTGTACGTCGACGACTTGGTCTTTGCCACTGGTGACACTGAGGCTCTCGCCCTGGTGAAGTCGGAGCTACAGAAGAGACACACGTGCACAGACCTGGGTGAACTGCGCAGCTACCTTGGCTTGCAGATCACCCGGGACAGAGCACGCCGCACCATCACACTGACTCAGTCACACATGGTGCAGCAGGTCCTTCAGCGCTTCGGCTTCACCTGGTCCTCGCCACAGCACACTCCTCTGGCTACAGGCCACTCGCTCTCAGCTCCACCTTCGGACGAGTCCGTAGAGCCGAGTGGCCCGTACCCAGAGCTAGTGGGCTGCCTCATGTACCTGATGACCTGCACTCGTCCTGACCTTGCGTACCCTCTTGGCCTTCTAGCTCGCTATGTGGCTCCTGGTAGGCACCGAAAGGTGCACATGGATGCTGCGAAGAGGGTACTGCGCTACTTGTGCAGTACATCGGGCATGGGGCTCGTGCTTGGAGGGCGGAGCCCAGTTGTCCTCACTGGGCACTCAGACGCTTCTTGGGTTGACGACCAGGCTACGCAGCGGTCGTCACAGGGTTACACCTTCAGCCTTGGCGCTGGTTCAGTTTCTTGGCGTTCTACACGCTCGTCTTCTGTTCTCAGCTCCAGTTGTGAGGCTGAGATCTACGCCACAGCCATGGCTGCACAGAAGTTACGCTGGCTCACCTACCTGCTGACCGACTTGGGAGAGCGGCCTCGTTCTCCTCCAGTGCTGTACGTCGACAACAAGGCCGCCATTGCCTTGTGTGAGGAGCACAGACTGGAGCACAGAACGAAGCACATCGCTCTGCGTTACTTCCTGGCTCAAGAGTTGCAGCAGCGTGGTCAGCTTCGTCTTGCTCACGTGGCCACTCGGGCCAACACTGCTGATATATTCACCAAGGCACTTCCGTCTAGTGATCATCAGCGTTTCTGCACTTTGTTAGGCCTTGTGCCCACTTTTCCTCACTTGCTGTAGACTTTGCTTGTCCTGTGATCTATATATATACCTGCATGCTTGCTGTGTTAGGTAGAGATCACTGTGCTGTTGGTGTTGCATATATACCTCTGCATGTGAACTGGCCTTGTGGCCCTTTGCTTGTGCTCAGTGTGTGTGGTGACGTTGTGATCCACCCTGAGCTTGCTTTGCTTCGCTTGACTGGTCTTGTGACCCCTTGTTCTCCCCCACTTTGCCTATGGGTGTGTGTCAAATGATATATGTGCTATATATGTTTAGGCTGTAGTGGGGTAGCCAATATGGGGTACAGCCCACTTTAGGGTTTCATATTTGTACCAAACTCTTTCATAGTTCATCCATTTCCTGCTTCTAGATTCTGACAGTCGACATGCGTGTTTGTTACGCTGCATTGCATCTATCCTGGCAATAATTCGTTTTTACAAATATACAATTGTATGCGTGTAACAAAGAAATAAAAAACCCATCTGGTGATGGTTTGCACTCACACAAATGTAATTCAGCGCAATCATTTTGTTTAGAAGGAGATTGTGTTGACAGATTTCTGAGATGGTTAAAGAAAAGCGAGCTATAACAATCCAGAATATGTATTGAGAATCATGGCTGTTCGCCAACACCAGCATCTCAGACATTCGCCAGAAGTGCATGTCGGCGAACCTTGACCTCGCGTTACTCTCGCGAACTTCTCGCCAATAGCCGTTCAGACCTTGTCAGAACATTCGCGCTGCCCATAAAACGAGATAAATCACCTGACTGTAACAATTCCCTCCCCAAAATTGCCGCGCGCAGAGTCGTGCCGCATCCAGAAGTTCGAGCCGTCGATTCGTGAATCATCGAACGACTCACGACACTCCATGAAAGCACATTCTCCGAAGCACATGTGATGCGCGAAACTGGGTGTTTTGTAAGCTGGATCTTCACCGTTCGCCAAATCGCTTGGAAACTCATCCGTAGATCAAGCGCAGGCACATTCCAGGAAACAACCAAGCACAATTTCTTGCGCACAGAATTGGCAAAAGAGGCTTGATGACGGTACCAAAATTGCCACCTCGGCCCCGAACACAGGCACAGGCTATATACAACAACTTACAACGATTGGACTCCATCGAGAAAAGTGGTCCGATGGGCCACCCCATTTTCAACACCTTCAACATTTTTGCGATGTGATTGCACCATCATGATTGCACCATCATGATTGCACTATCATGATTGCACCGTCATGATTGCACCATCTCCCACCATTCGTCGATCAGCACCTCCTCTCTCCACCCCTTCCGTCTCCTGCCTCCACATCCACAGTCAACGCCTTACATCTCGCCTTCATGAGACTTTTGCAAATCTTAAAAAAAAAAAATCTCACAGACTCCATCGCCCTCACCTCTCTCCCCTGCTCCACAGTCCACGGCCATCATGGCCTCTGTAGCTGCAGTCCCCTGCTCCACAGTCCCTTGTAGCTGCAGCACAGGGCCTCAGATTCATTTTTAGGGACCCTGAGCCCTCAGGGCATGACACAGAAATGCGTGTCCTCCTCAGGGCAGAGCTCCTAGGAGGACCCTGATTTCTCAGGGCATTCCAGAACTAAACCCTGATGGTTCAGGGCATTTTTTAAAACACACTGTATTTGCAGATGTTGCAAATGGTGAAGTGTTAGTGGTGGGTGGGTACTGTAACGGGCAGTCACGCCTGCTGCATCGCTGTAAGTTGCCCCATGTGGGCAATTTTGTCGTCAATGTGAGTGGTGGTGGGCGACTCGCGTGTTTTCGGCGCGACATCTCGGAAATCAAGGACTTCGCATAAGGGCCCCCCTAGGCGCACAGTGTAACTGTTTCAGGGTACGCCATACAAGCACCCTGACGCCTTAGGGCAGGCACGTGTACACTGCTCTGAAATCTCAGGGTTATATAAAACATACATCCTGAAATCTCAGGGCCCTAAGTACAGAGACCCTGATTTTTCAGGGCAAGGGGGGTATGTCAACCCTGAAATCAGGGTAATCAGGGTATTTTACCCTGATATCATAGCCCCTGCTGCAGCAGCAATGATACACGCCTTACACATCTCGCCTTCTCTGCCGCCGCCGCAGCAAGGTGTCTTTTGAGTCGACTCAGTAGTCATTTCCTGCCTCCTTCTCTCACCTCTCTCCCCTGCTCCACCACAGTCCACGGCCATCATGGTAGCAGCAAGGTGTCTTTTGAGTCGACTCAGTAGTCATCTCCTGCCTCCTTCTCTCACCTCTCTCCCCTGCTCCACAGTCCACGGCCATCATGGTAGCAGCAGCGGCAATGATACACGCCTTACATCTCGCCTTCCCTGCCGCCGCCGCAGCAGCAGCAGCAGCGCTGGATGCTGCTGCTGGCACAGCTGCCACGTCAGCTGCTGCGTCAACTGCCACATCAGCTGCCACATCAGCCGCCACATCAGCCGCCGCGTCGGTGCTGTCTGCTGTCCCTGCGACAGCAATGCTACGGCAGGGATGGTTCGTTGTGCTGGGCTGGTGGTGGCGGGCTGTGTGGATAAGCTCATGGGGCTGGCTTCAGGCGTCGCTTTTGAGAATGACTGGGTCCTCGTGGTGAGCCCACACGTCCCTACCTACCTACCTACCTACACGTTCAGTTCATTCAGACATGTGCACACATTTTGCAACACGTCCCGACTCCTCCCAACACATGCACGCACTTGCCAAATCTGCGCACACGTGCTCTCTACTTCCTTGCTTCACTCTGATGGCCCCTCTCTTCCGTTTCATCCCTCCGCCTCTCTCTCTCTTCCACCCTCTCTCTTCTTCCCTCTCTCTCCCTCCCTCTCTCCTATCCCTCTGTCTCCATGCACACATTGCAGCTGGTGGGGCCCCATCGGCCCGTGCCTCTGGCAACTGCCAACGCCATGCTCAGGCGGGTGGAGCAGAGCTGTGAGGTGAGGGAAGACGAGTTTGGTAACTGGGTATCTTATCCTGTTGCTTGTGCGGGGTTGCTACTCCGGCATTGAAATGCTGCTGATGAGACCAACCGATCCTGTTGCTAGCGCGTGACGAGGTGACTTTTGAGTCGACTCAAAAGTCATTGAAATGCTGCTGATGAGACCAACCGATCCTGTTGCTAGCGCGTGACGAGGTGACTTTTGAGTCAACTCAAAAGTCATTGAAATGCTGCTGATGAGGCCAACCGATCCTGTTGCTAGCGCGTGACGAGGTGACTTTTGAGTCGACTCAAAAGTCATTGAAATGCTGCTGATGAGACCAACCGATCCTGTTGCTAGCGCGTGACGAGCGTGAAACAGACCCTGACGAGCGTGAAACAGACCCTGACGAGCGTGAAACAGACCCTGACGAGCGTGAAACAGACCCTGACGAGCGTGAAACAGACCCTGACGAGCGTGAAACAGACCCTGACGAGCGTGAAACAGACCCTGACGAGCGTGAAACAGACCCTGACGAGCGTGAAACAGACCCTGACGAGCGTGAAACAGACCCTGACGAGCGTGAAACAGACCCTGACAAGCGTGAAACAGATCCTGACGAGTGTGAAACAGAGCTGTTACCATGAGGGGGACATGCCCCCACTGTGCGCCCGCCCACCGTTCCCCCCACTGTGCACCCACCATGCGTTCTCCTTGCTCTCCCTTCCTCTGCTCTTTCCTTCCCCCCCTCCTTGCCCCTCGCTCCACGCCACGTGCAGGTGGCAGCAGCGCTCATCTTTGGATGGCTCATTGCAGCCTGGGGCCCGCTCGTCTGCGCCAAAGCATGCCTCGCCCTCGTTGCACTCTCCCTCCCTGCCCTGGTGCGTGCCTGCCACCCCACCTGCTCACATATCCACATAACCGCATGCGCATATACCCACACACCCACTCACCCACACACCCACATACCCACAGACCCCTCCCCCTCCCCCTTCCTTTCCCCCTCCCCCTGCCCCCCATGCAGCTTGCTCTCACTTCCCTCACCAGCTATCTGTCCAATGGAGCCATCAGTCAGCCTCGCGACCCTGAGACGTCCCCTGAATCGACACAAGGGTCACTTAGGTCGACACCAAGTTCGTTAAGGTTGACACCAAGATCATTTAGGCCGACACCAGGATCGGTTCGGTCAACACTAGGGTCGTTGAGGTTGACACTAGAGTCGTTCCGATCTACATCGACACAAGGGTCGATCAGATCAGCAACAGGTTCATTTCGCGTGGCACCATCTTTGCCACAGGATTGGGTCCTAAGTGTCAATTACAGTACTGTTACTGTTGCTGCAGCTGATGATGGTGATACTGCTGTTCCTGCTGCTGCTGATGAGGAGCAGGCAGGACCCGCATGTGGTATTCCTGCTTCTGCACCACGGGAAGTATCACAGGGCGGCATGGTAGCCGTTGTGGCAGCCCCAGCAGCAGCAGCAGCAGCAGCAGCAGCAGCAGCAGCAGCAGCAGCAAGCACCGCAAAGGCAAATGGAGAACCAGCAGGCCGGATGGGGACCGCATTACGAATGGCAGAGGCGGCAGGATCAGCGCTGGGGAAAGCGGTGGGTGAGTTGCGGCAAGTGGTTGAGGCAGCAAAAGAAGGGTGGCGGTGCTATGTGCAGCAGCTGGTGATGCCTGCGAGTATGGCGTATGTGCTGCTGTGCTTCAATGCTGTTCTTGCTCCTGGAGGGCTCATGACCTCCTACCTCACGCTCCATGGTGAGTGGGCATGCACGCCCGCACGCACGACATATGCACATGCGCGCACACACACACACCACGGCACACGCACATATACGCACGCACCGGAGCGCATTCCTCTCACAAACCAAGCTGTAGCCCAAAATCCGGAAACCCGAAACCTTAAACCCGTTAATCCCTAATCTCGGCAGGGGTGCACATGGGCGTGATAGGCGAGTTCAGTAGCGCGTGTGACGCCATGGGCTTCGCGGCTACGTTCGTGTCTCCGCCACTCGTCGCTCGCCTCGGCGTTCTGCAGGTTCGGTGGTGGAGGGAGAAGCAAGGGGTGCTGCTACTGGGAGAGGGAAGGGGAAGGGGTGCGGGCGGTGGGAGGGATTGTGTGTTGCGAGATGAACAAGCACGCAGCGGCTGCCTACGGCAGGCGAGATAAAACACTTTTACTGTAAAGTGGAACGCTCACGCTTACTTGTTCCTCCTCGCCCTCTCTCGTGTGCTCTCTCTCCTCCTCCGACTCCTCCTCCTTTCCTCCGCATCTTCCCGTGGTTGAGAAACGACATTTGCACCCATCCTCCACGTCCCCTCTTCTTTATCTTCTATCGCCCTCCCTCCCCCCATCCGCCTTTCTCTCTCCTCTCTCTCCCTCCCAGGCTGGCAGTGCGGCGCTGCTCTTTCAATCGCTGCTGGTCTTCCTCTCGCTTCTCACCTTCTCGTCAATCTCGTTTGCGCCGCCTTCTCTGCAGCAAGGCCTGCTGCTTTTCTTCCTCCTGCAAATCGTGAGTCTGCTACTAACGAGGAACTCCGTACTGCAGCACTTCCCACCGTGCTATTCTTATCGAGGCAATTCGTAACGCGCCGATTTCCTATCGCAACAACTCTTATCGTGGCGACGGTTTTAGCAGGCGTGATGGAAAATTCTATCAAAAGCGCCTAATCAACCCCGTTCCCCACCTCGCCGCCACCCCTATTCTCCTCAGGTGCTCTCCCGTGTGGGCAACTGGACATTCGAAATTGTCGGCGCGCAAGTCATCCAAACGGCCGTCCCCGCCGCATACGCTAACTCCTTTGGCTCCACCGAAATGGCACTAGCAAGCCTGGCAGAGCTTCTCATGTTTGCCCTCGCCATCGTTCTCCACGATCCGCGGTATTTCGGCGCGCTCGTGCTCATGTCCGTTGCTGCCGTCTTCGCCGCGGCCGCTCTCTACTGCTCCTGGCTGGCTTGGCCGGACTCGAGGCTGGGAGAGGTGTTTCCGAACCAGCCGGAGGCTTGGTGGAGGAAGGTGTTGTGTGGAGAAACGAAGTTGGAAGAAAAGGAGAGGATAGAAAAAGCTCGGTTGGGTGATCAAGAGATGGAGATTGGACGAAGCACAGGAAATGGGAAGCCTTTCGGGGTGAAGAAGTGCGGTGGTGGTGATCAAAATATGGCGATGATTGCTACTGCAGGGTTTCGGGTTTGACCTTTGAAGATTGATCGGTTTTTTGGATTCGTTCGAAGGTTGGGGTGGAGCATCTCCGATATAATCCGCATCGGTTACTCAGGCATGTTTCCTGATCAAGACCCCTCTACTTCAGAACGCTCTGAGGGAGTTTATGTATTGTAGCACCTTGTCTGTAATATGCGTGGGACGCATTTAATGGGTTCTCACATGGTAATTCGTGATTGTGGGTTAGTTTGTAGATTGTTTTCGAATTAGTCGTTGCGGGATGGTTCCTAGATTATATTCGTAATGCTGTGTGTTGTGTCATGTGAAATATTAATTTCACTTCAATTACCTTGAGAGTACAGCGTTTTTCCTTAACCAAGAAGTGGATAATTCACCTTATAGGGGGGATTCAGTTGGTACGATGCCTGGTAGAGGGTCCAATTTGTTGGGTCTCGCGTGAATTTGACGATGAACTAGAATTACCGCTTTCCACCGTGTGGAGCCGTCCTGAGCCACGAAGCATGAATGAGTTTATATGTTCGAGCTGGGTATTCTCACCAGGCATTCCATTTTATTGGGAGTCAAACCACGTGACCATTAGGAAAGCGTTGAGACGCTAAGGGCAGGTCCTGAAAAGTTCGTTCATTGTTCACGGATAGATTGACCCTTTAGGATAGTGAGTAGCGGTATTAAGAGGTGAAACGAGGCTCTGGAGTGTACAATGTTGTACTCAACCGCTAACCGAATGAGAAGAATTTTCGGGACCTGCCCAAATGGCGAGGGAACGCGTTCACGCGCATCATGTCACATTTGCATAAAGAGGGGCGCATCGACTTGAATTATTGCTGATCACACGAATTTCACAAGAATTCCAAGCAGAGCACCATTTTCAAGCGTGATTGCAAGCACTCGAGACTCGGAGATGATCGTCCCATCCCCCCACCACCAACTACAGCACAGAGGACGATCAAGCAGAGCGGGTGACTCATCCTGATCATTGCATTGATAGCAGATGCCTGTTTCTGAGAAAACTCTTGTGAGGCGAGGAGTCGATGTGGTCACCTCACTGGAACCCTTTTCCAATCGCGACGAGGCGTGTTAGCGAGGCGAGTTCGGCGCGGTGATCGTGTCGCGTCCGTCGCCGACTGACATGACTTAAATTCTGATCGTCCGACCGATCGCGGCCCATTCAGGAAGCCCCTCCTCTAATCCTGGGGAGCGCCATGGATTGCGATGACACTACTAACGAAAGACCCTCGCGGCTGGCTTCTGAGTCCGCGCACGAAGCAAGCGGTTCCCTCGTCTCCCTTGTCGAATGGATTCAACTCCAAGACGGAACGAACGATGATTATTCGCGCGATAACGTAGCGGTCACTGTCACGGTACCGGCGACTCCGCCGGTGGCTGTAGAAGGTGACTCTGCAGAGGAAGGGTCCGCTAATGCCGAGAGAGAATCGCAGCCGCGCGGCTCGGAGTCCCGGAGCGGCGGGTTCTGGAGCCGCCTGTTACGCGGCGTAGCAGGCGCGGCATGGCGCGTGAGTCCCGCCGCACGTCCGGCTTTACCGCGGGGAGAAGACCAACGTCACGTTGGTATTTGGGGGATTTGGGGGCCTGCCGAGCGAGATCTGCGGGGACGGCATTCCGCTGGTATTTGGGGGCTCTGCGGCCACTGGCGGGAGGGTCAGCGTCAGAGTTAATACCGACTTCGATCAATCATCTGCGCTGCTGTGGAATGACTCGTCAAGCTCGAGGAATTCGAAAAATAGCAGCCGACGCCGACGCCGCAGCAGCAGCAGCAGCAGCAGCAGCAGCAGCAGCAGCAGTGAATCACTCTCATCAGACAGCGAGAGCGAGAGCGATGAGGAAGGCAGCATGGTGACGGTGGCACTAGAAACGGAGGTTACCTCTTCAAAGAAATATCAGGCCAAGGCGGCAGAAGAGTCGCCCTCATTCGACCCACTTGACTCCGTTGACCCATTTGACTCGAACACGAAGGAGCCATTTCCTTCCGCCTTGGCCGCCCGCCCTGCCCATCCCGCTGCTCTGCACGGTGCGTTGACGAGGTCACGTCCCGAATCTTCTGTCCTTGAATTTAAAACTACAAGGGCCAGGACATGTAACACTGAACAATCGATTTTCCGCAGTTTTCCCACCCAGGCCTTTTTTTCTCGCGATGAGAGGGTTCGTGATTCCTGTGACTCCTCCCTTGTGTCTTCTCAAAAGAGGCTCTTCTCTCACTTCCTCCCTTCCCTCTCCCTCACTTTCCGTCTTTCTTCTTGCAATTCCCATCCCTTCTCCAGCGCCCCTCTCCACTCAGCGCCTTGTCACTCTGCTGCCGCAGCCTTTAACTCAATCAGTGCCTTGTAACTCAATCAGTGCCTTGTACCGCCTTCCTTCTCCGTTCCCAAACACTCTTCTGCCTCTCCACCTCTGCAGCCCTGTATTGGACCTACGCCTTCAGTCGCTTTGGCAAGCAGTCGTGGCGCTTCGCCAGAGCGGCCCTGCTCTCGTTATTGTTTCGCTCGTTACTGCCAGTGGCAGTGGCAAACTTCGTTAGCCGGGTGAGAGAGAGCACGCGGCTATGCACTCTCACTCAGGCACACGCCATATGCACGCGTACGCACGCACGCAGCACATGCCCTCTTCACACGTGCGCATACTCTTCCCACCTTTCCACCCTTCTCTCTCTCATTGCCTCCATCTCTTCCCCTCCCCCCCTTCCCCGTCTTCGTCTCCTCTGCATCCTAACTCCTCCATGCAATAGCTGGTGGTATTCGCAGCATGCCCTACCATAGGAGGACTGATGGACTCAGCTCCGAGAGTGCGAGCCTACAGCACTCTCGTCTTTGTCCAGGTAAGCATGCAGAGCAGTTTCGTCAAGACCGCTCACATGAGGATGAGAGTGCAGTATGGGGTGGCTTCGTCGTGTGGGGTGGCTTCGTCGTGTGGGGTGGCTTCATCGTGTGGGGCTACTGTTACCCCACTATGTTCTCTAACGGCCCTTGCTACTCTGACGCCTTCCGTTCCATCCCCCTTCCCTTCTGTCCTTTTCATGCCTCCAAAGCACACCCCCTCAACTCTCTCCTCCCGCCTTCCCCCTTCCACCCGCCCACTCTCCGTCCTGCCTTTCTCTTCTCCTTCCGCCCCGCGGCCTTTCCCACCTCCTCCTCCTCCTCCTCCTCCTCCTCCTCCTCCTCCTCCTCCTCCTCCTCCTCCTCCTCCACTCGTCTCTCCCTCTCCCCACAGTCCACAGCAATGGTTGTCGCAGCAACGGCCATAATACACGCCTTCCTTATAGCCACTCCTGCAGCAGCGGCGGTAACAGCAGCAGGAGCAGGTGCTGCCGGCAACGCTGCCACATCAGCTGTCGCATCGTCAGCAGCCATGTCAGCGGCCACCTCAGCTGCCACATCAACTGCCACGTCAGCGCTGTCAGCTGTCCCCGCAACAGCTGTGTTACGGCAAGGGTGGTTCGTTGTGCTGGTGGTGGCGGGCTGTGTGGAAAAGCTTATGGGGATGGCCGCGGGAGTGGCGTTTGAGAACGACTGGGTCCTTGTGGTAAGCCGCCCACATATGACTTCTTTTGAGGCGCCTCAAAAGTAGGCACCTCAAAAGGACTTTTGAGGCGACTCAAAAGGAGTGGCGTTTGAGAATGACTGGGTTCGTGTGGTAAGCCACCCACATATGTCCAGCCCAGCCGCCCAGCACCTGTGCCACATGCGTGCTTGTTGACATGCCTATGCGCATCCATGCTCCCACAAACTCTCTCCTTTGCCTCCCACAACCTCTCTCCTTTGCCTCCCACAACCTCTCTCTTTTGCCTCCCACAACCTCTCTCCTTTGCCTCCCACAACCTCTCTCCTTTGCCTCCCACAACCTCCTTTGCCTTACTTCAGTACATCTTCTCTCCTGTTACCTATTTCCCCACCCACTCTCCCCGCCCATTCTGCCCGGCCCCTCTCCCGCCCCCTCTCCCCATCCCTCTTCCCGTCCGTCCCCCCGCCCTCTCCTCCCGTGCGCATTTTACGAGTCGACTCAAAAACTGTCCCCTCGCCCTCTCTGCCCATGCGCATCTCTCTCCGCTGGTTGGGGTGCATCGCCCCCTGCCTCTGGCGAACGAGTTTTGAGAATTCTCAAGCATCCCTCTTCCCGTGTCTGTCTGTCCCTTCGCCCTCTCCTCCCACGCGCATCTCTCTCAGCTGGTTGGCGCGCATCGCCCCCTGCCTCTGGCGAACGCCAGCGCCATCATGCTCAGGCAGGCGGAGCACCTTTTGAGTCGACGCAAAAGTCAATCCCGGCTGTCTCCTCGCCCTCGCCCTCTCCTCCCACGCGCATCTCTCTCAGCTGGTTGGGCCGCATCGCCCCCTGCCTCTGGCGAACGCCAACGCCATGCTCAGGCGGGCGGAACAGAGCTGCGAGGTGAGACTGCCCGTAAACGATTGCACCTGTTTGCTGTGAGATTGTGAGCTGTGAGCTGTGAGATTGTGAGCTTGTGATCTTGTGAGCTTGTGAGCTGCGAGCCATGAGCCATGAGCCATGAGCCATGAGCCATGAGCCATGAGCCATGAGCCATGAGCCATGTGCCATGAGCCATGAGCCATGAGCCATGAGCTATGAGCTGCGAGGTGAGACAGACAGCCCATAAAGATTACACCTTCTACCTGTGAGCTGTGAGGGCATGGGCTGTGAGCTGTGGGTACATTTATCGCGCCACCACGTTCCAGGTGACGCCGAGTGCGCTAGCATGCTGCCAGCACTCGCAGGTGCCATTTGGGGCGCCTCAAAAGGCGAGCTAGCATGCTGCCAGCGCCCGCAGGTGCCATTTGGGTGTGGCAGAGGTGTGAGGTGCAGGAGGAGAGATGCCTCTCTGTACTGTGTCAGTTGGGGAAGTCGCACATAGCTTACAGGTGGGCAAAACCTGTTCTAGCCAATCCCTGGACCCATTATTAGTGCCATAAGGACAGGGAGGGAAGGATGGCGTACCCTTTACAGTCAAATCCCTGCCTTCTCTTCCTTGCTCTTCCCTCTGCTACACTCTTCTTGTACCCTACTCCCCCCCTCGCTCACGCCACGTGCAGGTGGCAGCGACGCTCACCTTTGGATGGCTCATTGCAGCTTGGGGCCCACTGGTTGTTAGAATCTAGTAGCAGGAATGAATTGACTAGATCAGGGTTTGGTACAAATATGAAACCCTAATGGGGTTGTACCCCACATTGGCTACCCCACTACAGCCTACACATATATAACATGCATATAATTTGACACACCCCCATAGGCAAAGTGGGGGAGAGCAAGAGGTCACAAGACCAGTCAACAGAAGCAAAGCAAGCTCAGGGTGGATCACAACGTCACCACACACACTGAGCACAAGCAAAGGGCCACAAGGCCAGTTCACATGCAGAGGTATATATGCAACAACAACAGCACAGTGATCTCTACCTACCAGGAGCAAGCATGCAGGTATATATATATGTATCACAGTACAGGCAGAGCCTACAGCAAGTGAGGAAACGTAGGCATAAGGCCCAACAAAGTACAAAAGCGCTGATGATCACCAGGCGGAAGTGCCTTGGTGAATATATCAGCAGTGTTGGCCTGAGTGGCCACGTGAGCAAGACGAAGCTGACCGCGCTGCTGCAACTCTCGAGCCAGGAAGTAACGCAGAGCGATGTGCTTCGTTCTGTGCTCCAGTCTGTGCTCCTGACACAAGGCAATGGCGGCCTTGTTGTCTACGTACAGCACTGGAGGAGAACGAGGCCGCTCTCTCAAGTCGGTCAGCAGGTAGGTAAGCCAGCGTAACTCCTGTGCAGCCATGGCTGTGGCGTAAATCTCAGCCTCGCAACTGGAGCTGAGAACAGAGGAAGAGCGTGTAGACCGCCAAGAAACAGAGCCAGAGCCAAGGCTGAAGGTGTAACCCTGTGACGACCGCTGCGTAGCCAAGTCGTCAACCCAAGAAGCGTCTGAGTGACCAGTGAGGACAACTTCGCCCCGTCCTCCGAGCACGAGCCCCATGCCCGATGTACTGCACAAGTAGCGTAGTACCCTCTTAGCAGCATCCATGTGCACCTATCGGTGCCGACAAGGAGCCACGTAGCGAGCCAGAAGGCCAAGAGGGTACGCAAGGTCAGGACGAGTGCAGGTCATCAGGTACATGAGGCAGCCCACTAGCTCTGGGTAAGGACCACTCGGCTCTACGGACTCATCCGAAGGTGGAGCTGAGAGCGAGTGACCTGTAGCCAGAGGAGTGGCCTGTGCCGAGGACCAGGTGAAGCCGAAGCGCTGAAGGACCTGCTGCACCATGTGTGACTGAGTCAGTGTGATGGTGCGGCGTGCTCTGTCCGAGGTGATCTGCAAGCCAAGGTAGCTGCGCAACTCACCCAGGTCTGTGCACGTATGTCTCTTCTGCAGCTCCGACTTCACCAGGGCGAGAGCCTCAGTGTCAGCAGTGGCAAAGACCAAGTCGTCGACGTACACGAGGATGTAGAACGGCGGCAGCAAAGTGTCGGTACGCAGAAACAGCGACGGGTCAGCAGTCGACGGAGCAAACCCAAGAGCCGCAAGTGTCGTCCTCAGTGTGTCGTGCCACTCACGCGGCGCCTGGCGGAGACCATAGACTGGCCGTCGGAGACTCCACTGGGTACCAAGAGGGAACGACCCAGTGAAGCCAGGTGGGCGGCGCAGCCAGATCTCCTCGTGCAGGCTGCCCTGTAAGAAAGCTGTGCTGAAGTCAAGAGAGTGAAGCTCGTAGTCACGCTGAGCGGCAACGTGCAGTAGCACATGAAGAGTGGTCATCTTCGGGGTGGGGGAGAAGGTCTGGAAGAAGTCGACTCCCTCCCGCTGACTGAAGCCTCGAGCAACGTAACGAGCCTTGAAGACAGGCGGAGAACCTGGCGGTCGCTTCACCCTGAAAATCGACATGCCATCGAAGATGTTCGCCCCAGGAGGGGGAACCTCGTCGACGTAAGTGCCTGTAGACTTCGAGGATGCCATCTCTGCGTCCATGGCTGTCTGCCACTGAGAGGAGTAGGGACCCGCGATCGCCTCATCGTAAGAACGCGGAGTCGGGATGTCTGGTGCATCCGGGTCTCCCTCAGGGGCAAGCAGCATGGACACGAGATGAGGCGCAGCGGCTGCAAGACACTCAAGGTCCTCCTGCCTGTCCTCAAGGACGTCCGTGTCAAGAGCACAATCACCCCCGACGGACGGAGGACAGACAGACTCAGACTCAGCAACAAGACTAGCGGCGTAGTCTAGATGACATGCAGCAGCAAAGTCAACAAGCTCAGCGTCTAAGGCAGACGCAGCAGCAGACTCAAACGACGGGTCAGTGACAACTGTGGCTAGCAGACGCGTGACAGTAGGGTGAGCAGCACGAGCGCGGTCAGACTCAGGCTCTGGAACGTCAGGCAGAGAAGACGCAGGCGGGGACGGCAGGGGAATACGCTGCGGAGCAGAGGAAGGACGCAGGGCCATGAGGTGTGTGCCGGGGACAGCCGGCAGACGCTCACGGGGAAGACGACGACCAGTACGACCAGTGCGGACAGTGCGAACAGGCAAGACAGGACGAGACGCAGGCTCACGACGCTCAGCAAGACCGCCTGTCAGCTCAGTGTAAGGAGAAGGAGCAGGCAGCAGTGAGCCAGGCTGTAACGGAAGACCAGTAGAAGACGGGAGGCTAAGAACCTGGCGAAGCACGGAGCCAGACGGTGGCAGAGACGAAGGTGACGGCGGAGCGAAGAACAGTCGCGGCGGTGCAGTGCCACCAGCACCAGTAGCTCCAGCACCTCCTGCAGCTCCAGAACCTCCAGTGCCAGCACCCGCAGCAGCTCCAGAACCCCAAGCTCCGGCGCCACCAGCGCCAGCACCTCCAACAGCTCCAGAATCTCCAGCGCGAGCACCCGCAGCAGCTCCAGAACCTCCAGCTCTAGCGCCACCAGCGCCAGCACCTCCAACAGCTCCAGAACCTCCAGCGCCAGCACCCGCAGCAGCTCCAGAACCTCCAGCTCCAGCGCCACCAGCAGTAGCACTCCCAGAACTGGCACCTCCAGCTCCAGGGCCTCCAACCTCAGAGTCAACAGCAGCACCTCTAGGTCCAGCAGGCCCTCCAGTCCCAGCAGCTCCAGTACCTCCAGTACGAGCACCTCCTGGACCAGCTGCTCAGGGAACTCCAGTAGAAACAACTCCAGTAGCAGAGTCACCAGCTCCAGCGCCTCCCGCAGTAGGGCCCCTAGCTCCAGCAGCGCGGCCCTGACGGCTAACGTACCACTCACACAGCTGCTGTGGGGAGAGAGGGACAGCGCCGGGTCCAGTGCCTCCAACACCAGCGCCTCCCGCAGTAGGGCACCCAGCTCCAGCAGCTCGACCCTGACGGCTAACGTACCACTCACGCAGCTGCTGTGGGGAGAGAGGGAGACGACGACGAGAGTGCAGCGGCGAGGCACCAGCGGAGCGACTACGGAGACGGCCGCTCCAGGGAGACTTCTCATCAGACGCCTCAGCGCCCCCAGGTGCAGTAACCCCAGACTCAGTACCCCCAGGCTCAGCACCCCCAGACTCCTCACGCCCAGGCTCAGCACCTCCAGGCTCCGCACCCCCAGGCTCAGCACCCCCAGAAGCAGCACCCCGAGCAGGACCACCCTCAGCAGGACCTGAGTCACTAGTGACCTCAACCGGCGTAGTCAAGGGAGGAGGGTCTACCTGAGACACACCTGAAGGAGCAGGACCGGGAGCGGGGAGGGGATCTACCTGGGGAGCACCTGGAGCGAGGAAGAGCGGCTGGGGGGGGAGAGGGGCAGTGCGGTAGGGGAAGAGACGGTAAAACGGAACCGACTCGTCGAACGTGACGTCCTGAGAGGGGAAGACACGGCGCGAGGTGGGGTTGTAAAACTGCCAACCAGGCGCGTCAGGGACAAAGCCAAGGAAGACACAAGGAACAGCACGGGCGGAGAGCTTGTCCGCGGTGGTATCGCGGACAAAAGCACGAGAACCCCCGACCCGGAACACCGACGCATCGCCAACCTCCCTCGTCCACCGCAGTGTGGGCGAGGTCTCCGGCAAGGAGACACGGGGCCAGAGGTTGAGCTGATGCGCCGCATAGCGGACCGCAAACGACCACAGAAAATGGGGGGCAGCCGCATGGACCATGGAGGTACGAGCGACCTCCATGACCAAGCCAATGCGGCGCTCAGCAACCCCATTCTGCTGCGGAGAGGCCGGAAGCGTGAACGTCTGGCGAATGCCCTCCCCACGACAAAATCTCTGCAGAAGGTCGGAGGAAAACTCCCCACCTCTGTCAGAGTGCAGACGCAGGACGGGAAACTCCGTCCCGAACCGCTCGTGGAGCTGGAGACGGGCAGCGCGGATCCAAGGGATCAAAACATCAGGGAACTCACCTTTGGTGCGCAAGGGGAAGACCGTGGTATAACGCGAGTAGTCGTCAACAACCAGCAGGAAGTACCGCTCGCGGTCGTGCCCACTGACGCGGGCTGGGCCCTACACGTCCATGTGCAGGGTCTGCAGGGGAGCAGTCGTCGGGGGAAACGAGGAGGAGTGAGGAGCGGCGCGCTGCCGCCCCTCGACACAGGGAAGACAGGGAGGAGCAGGCGAGGGTGGGAGGGGAGGGAGAACCCTGGGAAGACCAGAGACAAGGACACGGCGGTGCATGCTACGAAGGCGCTGCACCGAGGGGTGACCAAGACGGTGGTGCCAAAGAAGGGTCTGGTGCGACAAAGCGCGACACGAGCAGGGGGTCGCTAGCTGACCTGACGCAGACGCAGACGCAGCGACCTGAGGGGACACAGTAGTCAGTGTGTACAGACTCGAGCCAGGCGCACGGGTAAACGTGGCCAGGTGCCGGCCCGTCCGGGAGCACGTACTGGTGGTCAGCACCACTCACCAAGTTCGTAGAGAACGAGGGGAGGTGAAGACCTGACAGGGAGCCAGATGGGAGCGCCGGATACGGCAGGACCGTGGAGGAGTGCGCAAGGACTGGACCCCCAGAGGGGTCTGCCAGGGAGACTGCAACCGGCCGACTGAGCGGCGTGAGGGTGGTGCTATCGCGAAAGAAGGAGAGGGAAGCATCTGAGTCAAGTGTGAAGGTGTACAAGGCCTCAGCAGGCATAGTACCAGAGAGAGCAGACTCACCAGCACCTGGAGCAGTAGACTCACTAGCACCTAGAGCAGCAGCCTCACCAGCACCTAGAGCAGGAGACGCACTAGCACCTAGAGCAGCAGCCTCACCAGCACCTAGAGCAGCGGGCTCTATACCTAGGTCAGGCGGTACGCACAGGTAACAGGCACCGTCAGCACTAGTAGGCAATGCATACATGGCAGTGAGAATAGCATCATAGTCAAGAGCAAAGATATCTACCCTCTGCCTAAGCAGCTCCAGCCAAGTGGGGAGCTCAGCCTCGTCGCCAAACTCGGTACGCCAGGCGTCGCTCAGACGGGCGAAGCAGCGGGACTGTGTGTGACCAAGCGTCCCGCAAGCCTGACCAGCCCGATCACCCGTGCGAATGACGTACGGGCAGCGAACGGTACTCCGAGACCCTCTACTCTGAGCGTACCACTGACGAAGCTGCTGGCGCGTAAGTGTCTCGCGCAGACGCCGCTGCAGCTGCAGCTGGCCACTGCCAGACGCTCCCGACTGACCAGCTCCAGGGCGACAGCCTTGACGGCTACCGCCACAACCCCAACTAGTATACCATTAACGAAGCTGCTGGGGCGTGAGAGACTCGCGCGGACGCCGCTGGAGCTGCATCTGGCCACCGCCAGTAGCAGCAGTAGCAGTAGTAGCAGCAGTAGCAGCAGCAGCAGCCTAGCAGTAGTAACAGAAGTAGCAGCAGTAGCAGCAGTAGCAGCGCGGGCAGGGCAGGCGCGGCAGGCAGGCAGGCAGGTAGATGGCGCGGCAGTGCGCTAACAAGGCAGGCGCGCGGGAAGCGCGGGTAGGGCAGGTGCTCATCAGTGGCGGGAAGGGCAGGCGCTCGCCGCGCGAGCAGGGCCGGCGCTTGGCGGGCGGCGGCTGGGTAGGCGCACGACGGCGGCGTCGGCGGGGCCGCAACAGCGGCTGCAGAGTAGGGCCGCGTCAGCTGTAGGGCTGGGGCCACGACAGCGGCAGGGCAGGGCCACGGCAGCTGCTGCAGGGCGGGGCGGTGTCGGCGGCAGGGCGGGACCAGGCGGGGCCGCGTCGGCGGCAGGGCGGGGCCGCGACAGCGGCAGGGCGGGGCCACGTCGGCGGCAGGGCGGGGCCGCGACAGCGGCAGGGCGGGGCCGCGTCGGCGGCAGGGCGGGGCCGCGACAGCGGCAGGGCGGGGCCGCGTCGGCGGCAGGGCGGGGCCGCGACAGCGGCAGGGCGGGGCCGCGACAACGGCAGGGCGGTGCCGCGACAGCGGTAGGGCGGGGCCGCGTCAGCGGTAGGGCGGGGCCGCGACAGCGACCTGGCGGGTCCGCGTCGGCGGCAGGGCGGGGCCGCGTCAGCGGCAGGGCGGGGCCGCGTCAGCGGCAGGGCGGGGCCGCGTCAGCGGCAGGGCGGGGCCGCGACAGCGGCCTGGCGGCGACAGCGGCCTGGCGGGGCCGCATCGGCTGCAGGGCGGGGCGGCGCTCTGGCCTGACGGGCCTGCAGGGGCGGCTCGCGGGCCTGACGGGCCTGCAGGGGCGGCGCGCGGGCCTTACGGGCCTGCAGGGGCGGCGCGCGGGCCGTACGGGCCTGCAGGGGCGGCGCACAGGCCTTACAGGCCTGCAGGGGCGGCGCGCTGGCCTTACGGGTCTGCAGGGCGGTGCGCGCGTAGCTAGGGCAACAGTAGGCAGCGCGAGGGCTGCAGGACGGCTCGCGCGGCGCAGCACGTCACAAGGCAAGGTTGGGGAAGGCGCGTACAGGACAACACGTGGGGTAGCGCGGTAACCGCAACAGTAGGTGGGCCCGGAAAAAACCTACGGACCTAGTGCACTGAAACCATGTTAGAATTTAGTAGCAGGAATGAATTGACTAGATCAGGGTTTGGTACAAATATGAAACCCTAATAGGGTTGTACCCCATATTGGCTACCCCACTACAGCCTACACATATATAACATGCATATAATTTGACACTGGTATGCACCAAAGCATGCCTCGCCCACGTTGCACTCTCCCTCCCTGCCCTGGTGCGTATTCACCTTCACCCCAAGAATGCTCAAAAGTAAACTTGATAATCGATACTGAATATTGAATTCTGGATTGCTTTTGAGAATTCTCAAAAGCCTCATTGCACTCTACCTCCTGCATATGGGGTACGGTAAGGGCGTATTCCAAGGCACGGACACCATCTGAAGTTCCCCCACGCGGTCCGCAATGTTGTAAATTGAATTTCAATGTGACGCCACGCGGTCCGGTATCTCGACACCTTGAAGCTGACGGCTACGGAACCTACGACTGTCATGCGCGTCTATCTGCGACAGCGGGTTTAGGCCCATGTCACTGTTTGATTGGGCCAATGAACTTGTGCGGGTGTGTATGTGTTCCAACACCTTCACGAGTCATTTTTGTCGCTGCCCAGCACTTGAGTCGGTTGTACAGTCACCAAAACCACGCAAGTGTACTTGAACTTCCTCCTCGATACACACAGCCACCCAACAAAAATGTTTTACAATCGCTCGCGCAGTCATTGTTGGCCGTTTGGCTGACTAAACTGCGACGAATTTAATTGGGCGCGAATCACCCCAGACCATTTCATGGTCAGACGACGCAGACGACCGTTCCCAACCACCCTGCGACGCCAGATGTCCGGGGTGGGGGCCTGCCCCACACAGACACCATCCCGAGCCCCAAGAAGTTCGGATGGGGGGACTTCGGGTGGTGTCCGTGCCCTGGAATACGATCTAAGACTATTCTTCCTTCCTCTAGCCTGCTTGTCTTCATGTATTCCCTCTCTCTCTCCCTCCCTCCCTCCCCCCTCCCCAATCCACCCTTCCCCACCTCCCTCATCCCCCTCTCCTCCCCCCACCCTCTCCCCCTCTCCCCCCCCCCCCCCCCCCCCTTTCTCTCTCACTCGCACACGCACATGCACACGCACGCACACCTCATCCCCCCTCGGCAGCTCGCTCTAACGTGCCTGACAAACCATCTCTCCAAAGGAGCGCTCAGCGAGCCCAGGACTCTCCAAACATCTCCTGAATCGACGCAAGAATCGTTGCGAACGGCATTTGGGTCGTTTAGGTTAACACCAGGGGGGCATGATATGTCAGCATCACAATCACTTCGGTTGGCGCTCGGCTTGTTTCGATCGACTCAAGGGTCGATCTGGTCTGCACCAGGATCACTTCGGTTGACACCAGATTTGCCACGTGACTGTGTTGTTAGCATCAATTGCAATTCTCCTGATGCCGCCGCCGCCGCTGCCGCTGCCGCCACTGCTGCTGCTGCTGCTGCTGCTGCTGCTGCTGATAATGATAATAATGACGGTGGTACGACTCTTCCCACTGCTGCAACTGAAAACCACAACGCTACCACCCACGCTCCAGACTTCACAGAGGCAACACAAGGTGAGGCAGTAACTTTTAGTGCTGGAAGCATATACCCCCAGCCTCTGCATGCACAACCTACAGCGGCAAGTGAAGAATCATCACAGCCAGATATGCAGCCATCAGCGAAGGAGGTGGAGGAGGAGGTGGAGGAGGAGGAGGAGGAGGAGGAGGAGGAGGAGGAGGAGGAGGAGGAGGAGGAGGAGGAGGAGGAGGAGGAGGAGGAGGAGGAGGAGGAGGGGGAAAGAGAAGAGGCAAAATCGGCTTTCCTAGTAAAGAAGGTGGGGCAGGACGCAGGACCCACATGCCCCACATGGGGTGTCCTTGCTTCTGGAACACCCCCAGCAGCATCACTCTTCATGGTGGCCGTTGCAGCAGCACTAGCACCAGCATCAACACCACCAGAAGCAGCAGCAGCAGCAGCAGCAGCAGCAGAGGCGATCCCTCACCCTGCCCATTCATCCCAGCAGGGAATTGCAAGAGGCTCAGCAGTAGGAGCGCCAGCAGCAGGGATGGGAAGTCCTGCAGGAGTGGCAGGTGTGGCAGCATCAGCAGAAGCGGAAGCAGTGGGCGGGTTGAAAAGGGTGGATGAAGCTGAAGTTGAAGCAGAGGGGAAGGGGTTTCGAAGCTATGTACGGCAGCTGGTGATGCCTGCGAGTATGGCGTATGTGCTGCTGTGCTTGAATGGCGTTCTCACACCCGGGACTCATGACCTCCTACCTCACGCTCCATGGTGAGTGGGGCACTCCACTTGCATATACGCATATGCACACAGGGCTCTATGCACGCATGAACGCACATACGCATGCACTGCACATACACGTGCACACATGCAGGCATTCTCTCGCACACATGCCCCCACGCACGCACATTCACAGCGCCGAAAACTCCACCTGAACCCACTGCCAAGCTATACCCCACACCCCGATTCTGGCAGGGGTGCACATGGGCGTGGTGGGCGAGTTCAACAGCGCGTGTGCCGCCATGGGCTTCGCAGCCACGTTGGTGTCGTCGCCCCTCGTCGCTCGCTTCGGCGTTTTGCGGGTACGCTGGGAGAGGGAAGGGGTGCGGGCAGGCCGTGGGATGGGAGGGATTGTGTGTTACGAGATGAGCGAGCTCTTAGATGACTATGGAACATGAGATGAAACAAGGGTTAGACGCCGACGCTCTCTCGCTCCTCCTCCTGAACGTCCCCCTCATTCTTCTCTCGTCCTCGCCCTTCTCCTCCATCTCTCCTCTCCTCTGCATCCATATCTCACTTCCCTCCTCTATGTTTCAATCCTCACTCTACCTTCCTCTCTCTCTCCTCTCCCTTCCTCCCTCCCGCTGGACTATTTCCTTCCCAGGCCGGCAGTGCGGCGCTGATCTATCAAGCGCTGCTGCTCCTCCTCTCGCTTCTCACCTTCTCGTCGATCTCGCTTGCGCCGCCTTCTCTGCACCAAGGCCTGCTGCTGCTCTTCCTCCTGCTAATCGTGAGTCTGCTACTACAGAGTAACTTTTCAGAACACTGCCTCCGATCATGCTATGACCTTCCAGATTGTCGGCACTTCTTATCGTGGTGACTGGTAAAGGGAGCACTGATTGAAAAGCGCCGAATCCCCAATTGCCCACCTCCCCGCCACCACCCCTATCCCCGGCAGGTGCTCTCCCGTCGAGGCAACTAGACTTTCAAGATCGAGATTTGAGTCAATTAAAAAACTCAAAACTCAAAGCTCACCTCTCCGACACCCCTATTCTCCTCAGGTGCTCTCTCGCGTGGGCCACTGGCCATTCGATTTGGGTCGACTCAAAGCTCACCTCCCCTATCAGCCCCTTTCCCCACCTCGCCGCCACCCCTATTCTCCTCAGTTGCTCTCCCGCGTGGGCCACTGGACATTCCAAATGGAAAATTGAGTCGACTCAAAGCTCAGATCTCCGGCACCCCTCTCCCTGGCAGGTGTTCTCCCGCCTGGGCCACTGGACCTTCCAGATCGTCGGCACGCAGGTGATCCAAACGGCCGTCCCCGCCGCATCCGCCAACTCTTTCGGATCCACACACAGGGCGCTCGCCAGTTTCAAAAAGCTCCTCATGTTTGCGCTCGCCATAGTTCTCCACGATCCGCGGTATTTCGGCGCGCTCGTGCTCATGTCCGTTGCTGCCATCTTCGCCGCGGCTGCGCTCTACTGCTCCTGGCTGGCTTGGCCCGACCCGAGGCTCGGGGAGGTGTTTCCGAACCAGCCGGAGGCTTGGTGGAGAAAGGTGCTCTGTGGGGAAACGAAGATGGAAGCAAGAGCGAGGGTGCAAATAGCTCGGTTGGGTGGCCAAGAGATGCAGATTGAGCAAAGCACAGGAAATGAAGAGCTTTTAGGGATGAAGCGGTGCGGTGGTGGTGATCGAACCGTGGTGATTGATCAAGAAAAGGTAATCCAGGGAAGCGAGGAGGCGCTACACCTGTTCGATATTTCCACACCCTGAACTTTGATTCTTCCCAGACACCCTACACGGATGAAGGTTTGATGAGACCGACGCCCTGACATTGCGGGCAGGTCTATCAGGAAATAACCACCAGGTCAAGGCCTTTCGAAACTCGAACTTTGTAGTTCGAGTGAGCGGGGAAAATTCCAGTGCCAGATTGTTCCTGCGTTAAAGCCGTTGGCCCAAATTGCACAAGTTTTTAAAACTTGGCCCAGGGGAACAACGGGTGGCGAGGGGTGTGAAAGTGAAAGTTGGGAGCCGAAAGAAGGCACACCCAGTAAGCGAAATCGAGAATTGTTTAGCGAACAGCCGAGTCAAACAATAGAAAACCAGCCAATAGAAATTGTCGCACGGCGCACCACACACCGCGACCAAAAAACACACAACACAACACTTCCGCAGCTCTTGCGCTGCCACACACACAACACCATGACCTAGGCTTTCGACAACCAACCATGATGAGGCCCGCTAGTACTTGATACTGCATACAGCAGCCAACTACAGTAGGCGGCACGAGCAAGCACACTTGCGTCGCGGATGATAAAACTGCCAAATCCTTAGCATTACGACAGCCATAAAGGTTGCAGTTGAGATAAAAAACGTCACACGACCGTCATCAACAAACAGAACCACTTCATTCGAGACGGCGAGATAGGGAATATGGCCCGTCGCCCTGGAAAGGATGCTTCCCGAAGGTACGAAAAAGCCGTAGACACGGCACGAACGTCGGCGCATTCTGAAAGCATCGGAATGCGGCGGAATATCAAACACTGAATGCCAGCGCGGATAACGTCATATGGCACTACGTGGGAAACCTCACTTTCGCTCAGTAAATAGCGACGCCACTTGACCATCTTCAATGCACCCACCTTCGCCATCGCATGGAGAATGAGGCATGGGCATGGGGGCATGAGAGACATGCATGGGCGAGCCCGTGAAAGTCGTGATGCACGCATTCACATAAACCTTAGCTTGTAGGTGCAAGCGCTTCGTTGGGTTTCTCACCGCCCCCCTTTCAATAGAACCACTCTCATCCTCTAACTTGACCTCATGAAAGCAGCAGTGACGAAATAACTTGGCGCACAACACACAGAACACACCCGGTGCAGACTCAAGCCAACTCTTGAGACGCATCCCAAGATATCTATGCCTCCCACCAACCGCACCTCATGGAACCAGGTGTGGCAGAAGAAGTCAGCGCACAACAAACAGAGAAGGGGGAGGAGGTGGAAGGGGATAGAGTTAAAGAACGGAGGGAGGGGAGAATGGAAAGGTGAGATGAGAGCATAGAATAGAAGTCTGAGCAAATGGGGTTGAGCAGCGGGACACAGCCGAAGGGCAAACGGTGAGGAGAGGGGAGCGGGGGTTGGTGTATGGGTGGCACCATAGAATCTCACACTGTCATTTCACCTGACAGGTGGAGACCACCTGAGGTCAGGCTGTCAACTGAAAGTATCTTCTCCCTGTATAGTTCCTCCTCTGCTGCCCACAGCATCCACAGACAAAACAGGACACATGCACCAATGCAGGAGAGAGGAGAGGACGAGGGGGTAAGAAGGGGGGAAGTAGGGGTAAGACCATCTGAGGAACAACACAGGCACAACAGGGTGGCCAGGGTAAGTAGTCCCCCTGTTAGATAGTCAGGAAGCTTCACAAAAGAGGGTGGGTATGTGTCCCAGCCCAGCAGCAGTGTGGTGCAGCTCTCACCTGTGCCTCCTAGAACTCCACTTCATCATCCCACTCCTTGTCCTCCTCCTCCAACTCTTCCTCCTTCTCCCACCCTTCCCCTTACCCCTCACCTCCCTCGCTCTCACTCTCTCTCCCTTCGGTCATACGACGAACGCGACCATCGCCGTCGCATCGTCTGGATGTGCGCTCTGCTCGGAGGTGCCAGAAACAGGCAATAGCACCAGCACCATCAATGCCCCTATTTTCCGCTGCTAGCTTGCCATAGTTCCCAGATCTAGCATTACGATTGAGAGCAGGCGTGCCATGGCCGTTCCTACTGTGCGTTCGAGTTGTGCGTGGGCTTTTTTGTTAGTGCAGCGGGTACTTGTTTGTGTCCAAGAGTCCCAAATTGCACACCCTCGTTTTCAAGTTTTTGGGTGTGTGTTGGTTCTGCCGAGCCCTGGTTTGCGACTGAAGACATTTGTGTTCAATCTCATTGGTTCTCAACATAGGGGTAGTCAACTCTCATTGGCTCACAGCCTGAGTTGTGTCGCGCGGACCTCTGTCTCCCAGAAACCTGGTAACCCGAAAGTCAGGGGAACAAGTTTTAAAAACTTGAACCGCGCGGCTTGCAATTTGGGCCGCGGGCTTTAAGCTCCCATTGAGATTGTGTTACATTAACCCTGAAAATTCTTCGAGCGTTGCTAACTACCTTCGAAATCGGTTCTTTCGAGGGTAGGTACCCCAGGTCGTGAAGATAAAGGGTGTGGAATTATCGCAGTTTCGGTGTAATTGCTACTGCGGGGTTTCGGGTTTGAACTTGGGGAATGTAACAGGGGGGTAGTTGGGGGCAGGCGAGGGGAGCGTTTCCGGGCGGGAAACTGCGCGGCTGGGACGGTAGCACTACCGAGTTCGGCCGCCCCACGGTAGCGTGGTCCCAGCGCTACAGGGTGGAACACACCCTAGAAAACGTATCAGTAACCAGACGCTCGGCGACCGCTCATTGGCCGTTGCTCCCCCGATTTTCCACGCGGAAAACATCGGGGGAAGCTCCGACGTGCACGTGTGCTTTCGACAGAGGTACTCACTTTCGCCTCCTGCTTCGTGGCTTCGGGTGATTCGCGAACACAAAGGGAAGACTGAATGAATGCACGTGGCGTCGTGACATGGCAACTTTTTTCGCCAAATATGACGCGTGGCCGCACATAACTCGCGCGAGAAAAGTTCACGAAGAAGTGCGATCCTCGTGAAACCATATCCCCGACACAGCCAACCTCGGGTTCGCATTTGTTTCGCTGGTAACGAAATCAATAATACCGCATGTGAAACCAAGCACAAAATTATAGGCACAGATGGATGTTGCGTGGCCCCCACACACATACAGAAACGGCTTGGAACACACACGCGGGGATTCCCGCGTTCAGAAAGTCAGGAAATTTCGTGCCTTTCTGATCGCGGGAATCTCCGCGGAAATTCCCCTTACCTCTCTCGCGGGAATTCAACCCGCGGAAACTTCAGACGAACAGCGCAGGAATTCATGAGAAGCCACCCGCGGGAATTTCCGGGAACCCACCCGCGAGAATACCTTGGGAACCGCAAACTAAATTCCAGCACTCCCGTTGTTAGCTAAGCGATGGTAGTGATTCAGAAACGATATGGCAGTTTAGAGCGCGGTAGAACCCGCGGGTTGCACAAGCCGGAAACTTCAGGAGTGCCAAACGTGGGTAGTTCATGCGGTATTTATCGCTGGTATTTCTCGCGGATCTTGCTCGCGGGAATTTCTCATGGTAGATAACGTGGAGCATAACGCGAAACTGTTCCGCGGAAATTTCAAGCAGACATTTTACGCAGATAATTCTCGCTCGTATTTCTCGTAAGAATTTCATGCGTATACGTGTAGGGTATTACGCGGGTCTACACGCAAGTCATGGCCGCGGGGAATCAAGTTGCTATGACACATCAGGCCTGAAAATATGAAACCAAAAACTGCATCTGGAAGGGACTGCGGGTGTGTAAA